AGTCACCCAGATGGCTTTTATGTCTAAAGTGGGACTAGAACTCACTGTCTCCTGGTTTTCATAGTGTTTCCTGGTGATTGGCCCAAAGTCACCCAGCTGGCTTTCGTGCCTCAGGCAGGACTAGAATTCACTGTCACCTGGTGATTGGCCCAAAGACATCCAGCCAGCTTTCATACCTAAGGTGGGACTAGAACTCACCATCTCCCGGTTTCTACCCTGGTGCCTTAACCACTAGACCAAACTGGCTGTCTTAGCAAGGAGATGTGGGATGTAGGGGGCCTGAATTGGGTGACCACTGAGAGAATCATTCTAGAAGAGAAGGCGCCTGCGCTTGATCGAATGGGGAAAAATCTGAAGAAAGTCAAACGTAAGTTTCGGCCCCTTCTCCAACTTACCTCACGAAATCAGCCTTCATTTGCAAAGAACTTCGCACCACATTTTAGAAGCGGCCTTTGAGGTCCCATCGATGCTGGTCTGTGAGACGTGACGCTACTGTCCGAGCACCCAGCTTCAGGAATAGTCTATCCTAAAAGGCCAATTTTCTGGGACAAGGAAAAACAAAAATGCCCCTTTTCCATTTTGCGGCATTTCTGGAAGGCATCTCTCAGCCTCTTGATCAGGGGTGGAGAATGATGGCCCTTTTGTGTCTTGTGGACTTCAACTCCCGATCCAACCTCTATATCCGTTTGCTTCCTTTATGTATCCTCCCATTTCTCTCCCTCTCTCTCTCTCTCTCTCTTCTATCTATCTATCTATCATCTATCTATCTATCTATCTATCTATCTATCTATCTATCTATCTATCTATCTATCTATCTAATCTAGTATCTCTCCCTCCCTATCCAACCCTTCCTCCATCCATCCCCCCATGCCTTTATCCCTAACTATTTCTTTCTCTACATCCCTCTTTCCCTCCCTCCCTTCCTTTATCCCTCCCTTCATCCTTCTCTCCATCTATATCTCTCCCCTCCCATTGTCCATCCATCCCTTCCTCTATTCCTCAATCCATCCCTCCATACTTCTATCCATCTCTCTGCTTTTCTCTGTCCACATCTCTCCTTCCCTCCCTTCCTCAATCTATCCCTCCTTCTATATATCCCTCTCCTTCTCTCTCCATCTACATCTCTCCTCCCACCCACCCTCTCCCTCAACCCATCCATCCATCATCTACATCTTTCTCTCCTCTCTCTACTTCTACATCTTTCCCTCCCTCCTTTCCTCTATCCCTCAATCCCTCCCTCCTTATACCATATATCCATCTTTTTGCCTCTCTCCTTCTATTCCTCAATCCATCCCTTCCTCCATCCCTCCCTCCCTCCCTCTCTCTATATAGCCATCTACATCTCTCCTTCCCTCCCTCCTTCCATATATATCTGTATATCTATATCTATATCTATATCTATCTATCTATCTATCTATCTATCTATCTATCTATCTATCTATCTATCTATCTATCTATCTATCTACCTACCTACCTACCTACCTATACATATATATCCATTCCTCTTTCTCTCTGTCCTCATCTCTCCTTTCTTCTATCCCTCCATCCATCCCTTCCTCCATCCATCCATCCCTCCCTCCCTCCCTCTATATAGCCATCTACATCTCTCCTTCCCTCCCTCCTTCCATATATATCTGTATATCTATATCTCTATCTCTATCTATCTATCTATCTATCTATCTATCTATCTATCTATCGACCTACCTACCTACCTACCTATACATATATATCCATTCCTCTTTCTCTCTGTCCTCATCTCGCCTTTCTTCTATCCCTCCAGCCATCCCTTCCTCCATCCATCCATTCATCCCTCCCTCCCTCTATATAGCCATCTACATCTCTCCTTCCTTCCCTCCTTCCATATATGTGTGTGTCTATCTATCTATCTATCTATCTATCTATCTATCTATCTATCTATCTATCTATCTATCTATCTATCTATCTATCTATCTATCTATCTCCATTCCTCTTTCTCTGTCCTCATCTCTCCTTTCTTCTATCCCTCCAGCCATCCCTCCCTCCCTCCCTCCCTCCCTCCCTCTATATTATATATATCCATCTCTTTCTCTCTCTCCGTCTACACCTCTCCTTCCCTCTCTCTCTGTCCATCTCTCTCTTTCTCTCTCCTCCTCTCTCTCTCTCTCTCCCTTTGTCCATCCAGCGAGCGCCGGCTTGGAGGTCGGCGCTGCGACGCTGGGCCGGCCCAGGCGGCTCCTCCTCCTGCTTTTCTTCCTCCTCCTCCTCCCGAGCGGGGCGAAGATGGCGGCTCCCAGCGGCGACCCCTTCGCCTTCTGCCTGGAGGCGCCCCCCGGCCAAGCCCGCCGCGCCCTGGAGCTGCGCCTGACCGGCAGCGCCAAGGTGAGACCGCAGCCCCGACCGGCATCGCCAACCGGGCGCCCGCAGCAACAGCAGCAGCAACAACAGCGCCGGGCTGGGGGCTCCGGTTGGGCTGCCCGGCTGCACTTCTTCCTATGGGGAGGCAGGGAGCCGGGGGAGGGGCAGGTAGACTGGCCGTGTGGGGACCCCCCCACCCCTTCTCCCTGCCTGGGCTGCGGCCGGGGGCTTTGGCCACGTGCGTCCGGCCCGGATCGTCTGAATCGTCAGAAGCTAAGGCAGCATTGGCTACTTCCAGTGAGGCTGGGCAGTGATGGAAAGGGAGACCCGATTGCTACTCGATCCCTTGAGATCCTTGCCCGAATGATCTATATGGGGGGGGGGGGTTATCCTGAGCAGCGGCGTCTCCCTTCTTGTCACTCGATCGATTGATCCGTTCCTTATTTCTGACGAGAGAGATCGATCAGAATAGAGCTGGAAGGGACCTCGGAGGTCTTCTAGTCCGACCCCCCTGTTCAGGCAGGAGACCCTATACCAGTCCAGTCTCTTCTTAAAAACCCTCCAGTGATGGAGCAGCCACAACTTCTGGTGGCAGGCGGTTCCACTGGTTCATTGTTCTCGCTGTCAGGAAATCTCTCCTTAGTTCTAGGGTGGCTTGTCTTCTGGATTAGTTTCCATGCCTTGTTTCTTCTTTTGCCTTCTGGTGGTTTGGAAAACAAATTGACCTCTCTCTTTCTGGCTGGGAATGCTGGGAGTTGGAGTCCACCCATCTTAAAGCACACCAGCTGGGGAATTCTGGGAGTAGATGCCCATATGTCTTAAACCAGGGGTCCCCAACCACCGGTCCACGGACCGGTACCGGTCCGTGGAACAAGTCCTACCGGGCCGCTGGCTTGCTGGGCGCCGCCATCTTGTTTCGATGAAAAAGTGGTAGAAAGCTCACCGGAAGCACATTTTCATCAAAACAAGATGGCGGCGCCCAGCTGATGTCGGTACCGGGCCGCGCCATAAAAAAAGTTGGGGATACCGGGCCGCGGCGTAAAAATGGTTGGGGATCACTGTCTTAAACCACTTGGGCTGAGGAATTCTGGAATTGGAATTCTGGAATTGGAATTGACCCCTCTTAAAAGCTTGCAGCATGGGGGATTCTGGGAGTTGGAGCCCACCTATCTTCCAGACTCCTTGGGGGAAGGGTTGTCTGTTGGTCTTCCTTCTAAAAGAGACGTTTTGGGTGGTCTTCCCTGAGATAACCTCCCCCAGGACAACTAGGTAAGAACTGATTTCTCCAGCTCAAGAGTTTTCCAACTTGGCAAGTTTAAGACTTTTGGACTCCAACTCCCAGAAGTCCTGAGCTAACATGACTGGAGGAGGAATTCTGGGAGTTGAAGTCCACAAGTCTTAAAGCTGTCAAGTTTGAAGACCCCTGATTTATCATCTATCTGTCTGTCTGTCTATCTATCGTCTCCTCATCCATCCCTCCATTTCTATCCATCCATCCATCCTCTTATCACAAGGGTCTTCCAACTTGGCAAGTTTAAGACTTATGGACGTCAACTCCCAGACTTCCTGCGCTAACATGACTGGAGAAGGAATTCTGGGAGTTGAAGTCCACAAGTCTTAAAGCTGTCAAGTTTGAAGACCCCTGCTCTAGATCTTTATATAATCTATGTCACCCATCCTCTGTCTGTCTATCATCCAGCTAGCCAGCCAGCCATACACTCTCTGTCTCTCTATTTATCTCTCTATCTAGTTCTGTATCTAGATTTTTATGTAACCTATATCATCCATATCTATCTATCTATCTATCCATCCATCCATCCATCCATCCATCCATCCTATCAATCATCTATTCCTCCCTCTGCCTTCCTTCCATCTGGCTAGCCCAAGGGTCTTCCAACTTGGCAAGTTTCAGACTTGTGGACTTCAACTCCCAGAATTCCTGCGCTAACATGACTGGAGGAGGAATTCTGGGAGTTGAAGTCCACTAGTCTTAAAGCTGTCAAGTTGGAAGACCCTTGCTCTAGAAAGAGTGCAGAGAAGAGCCACAAAGAGGATTAGGGGACTGGAGGATAAAACATACGCAAGAGCGGTTGCAGGAACTGGGTAGGTCTAGTTGAATGAAGAGAAGGACTAGGAAGGACTGTCAAGTTTGAAGACCCCCTGCGTCCAGCTCATCCTTCCTGCAAAGGACCAGCCTTGGACATTTCCTGAATTCTACTTCATTTTCTCCAATTAAAGGGCAAAGGGCTTTTTGCCATCCAGAACATCAGGAAAGGGGACACGATTTTCGTGGAAAAACCTGTGGTGTCAGCTCAGTTTCTTTGGAATGCTTTGTATAAATACAGAGGTAAGTGGATGAGGGGCAACCCCGTCCTCACAGGGACGGTGCATGTGGCATGTTCCCAGTCATGGGTTTGGATGCACAACAACCGGGCCACGTTTGTGACCATTTGCAAGTGTCCCACCGTTGCACGATTGGTGTTTCTGATTGTGGTGCTCGCTGAGCTGGGTGGTTTTCTTGCAAACGTTTCATGACCCAGCTAGGCAACATGATCAGTGCTAGAGGAGAGTGGGATGCAGGGAGAGAGGGGGAAGGGGAAGAGGAGGAAGAGAAAGGGAAGACTGTGGGGCCCTTGGTGCTCTCTGAGCTTGGTAGTTTTCTTGCAAGACATTTCATGACCCAACTAGGGAACACCATCAGTGCTAGAGGAGAGTGGGATGCAGGGAGAGGAGGAGGAAGAGGAGAGGGGGAGGAAGAGGAGGAAGAGAAAGGGAAGACTGTGGGGTCCTTGGTGCTCTCTGCGCTTGGTTGCAAGACGTTTCATGACCCAACTAGGAAACATTTTCAGGGCCAGAAGGGAGTAAGGTTTGTGGAGAGGAGGAGGAGCGGGAGGACTGTGGGGTCCTTGGTGCTCTCTGCGCTTGGTGGCAAGACGTTTCATGACCCAACTAGGAAACATTTTCCGGGCCAGAAGGGAGTAAGGTTTGTGGAGAGGAGGAGGAGCGGGAGGACTGTGGGGGTCCTTGGTGCTGTTTGAGCTTTGCTGTTTCCTTGCAGACATCTTATTACCAAACTAAGTCACATCATCAGTGCCAGAAGGAGTGGTGTTTGTGAGGAGGAGGAGGAGGAGGAGGTGGTCAGTGGGATCCTTGGGGTTTTCTGAGCTTGGTTGCTTTCTTGCAGACGTTTCATGACCCAACTAGGTAGCTTCATCAGTGCTTAGAAGGAAGTGAATTTTATGGAAAAGGAGAAAGGAGAGGGAGGGCTGTGAGTTCTTGCGCTCTCTAGCTTGGTTGTTTTCTTTCAGACATTTCATAGCCTAACTAGGTAACACCATCAGTGCTAGAGGGGAGGAGGGGGCGGTCTGTTTTCTGTTTATATTCTAGTGGCTTGAAGGCCTGTCAGTCTTGCTGTGGGGGTGGTTTTCTTCTTGCTGGTTCGTCGATTGGGATATTCGTTTGTCCATTCACGGCAATTCTAACACATCGGGGGCGGGTTGTTGTTGTTGTTGTTATTATTATTATTATTATTATTATTATTATTATTATTATTATTATTTGCAACCTCACCCCCCTTTTAGCCTGTGACCACTGCTTACGCGCCCTAGAAACTGCTGAGGAAAATGCTCAGAGGCTGCTAGGAAAATTCCAGCTCCTTCCTCACCCGGAGAAATGCAGCATTCGAAAAGAGCTCCATCAGTGCTGTCCCAGCTGCCAGGTAAACCAGCATTGGGTGTGTGTGTGTGTTTGTGTGTGTGTGTGTGCGTTTGCGTGCTATTAATTTTTTTTTTTAAAAAGTCATTTGTAACGGCAAAGCCTTATCACCAAGCTCAGAGAGCACCAGGGACTCCACAGTCCTCCTCCTCCTCCTCCTCTTTTCCTTCTCCTCCTCCTCCTTGTCCTTTTCCTCCCTGCAAATCCCACGCCCTTCTAGCACTGATGATGTTACCTACTTGGGTCATGAAATGCCTGCAAGAAAAACCACCAAGCTCAGAGAGCACCAGGGACTCCACAGTCGTCGTCATCCTCCTTCTCCTCCTCTTCTTCCTCCTTTCCTTCTCCTTCTCTTCCTCTCCTCCTCCTCCTCCTCCTCCTCCTCCTCCTCTTTTCCTTCTCTTTCTCCTCCTTTTTTCCTCCTCCTCCTTTTCCTCCTCTCCCCTGCAAATCCCACTCCCTTCTAGCGCTGATGGTGTTACCTAGTTGCGTCCTGAAATGTCTGCAAGAAACCTCCAACTCCGAAAGAACCATGGACCCCATAGTTGTTGTTGTCCTGCTCCTCCTCTTCCTCCTCCTCCTGCTCCTCCCCCTCTCTTTAAACCCCATGTCAGGATTCCAGCAGTTACCCCCCCCCCAATTAAATCCTGAGTCTCGAGCCAAACTTCCAAAACTTCAAAAGGATTTATTGGGAGTTAACATGCCGGCACTGCCTGGGTGTAGCCGACTCTGAGACACATCATTCATTGTCACCCTTGACCCTGGTTTTTCCCCCACCCCTCTGGGTGTATCCTAATTCATATTCTCCAATGGGACACGTCCATAGCCCAGAGTCATCAGTCAGGCTCTCCAGTTAGATCTTTGCGCGGCAGAGACTTCAGTCACCTAGTCACTATCTTTGAAAAACTATTTATGGAATGCGCTTTCGGTTTCCAAGCTGCCTCACTGTTCCCCCCTCCCTTTCCGTTGGCAACTCTAAAAAGACCAGAGAAATGTTTTATGAGTTGACACCCCACTGTTTCTAGCATTGATGACGTTACCTAGTGGGGTTACGAAATCTCTTCAAGAAAACCACCCGGCTCAGAGACCACCTTGAGCTACAAATATTCTCCTTTGCAGGTTGCTCTCCACTTAACAACCATTCACTTAGTGACTGTTCAAAGTTACAACGGCACTGAACAAAGTAACTGACAACCCCTTTTTTCACACTTACGACCGTTGCAGCCTCCCCGTGGTCATGGGATCAAGAATTCAGAAGCTTAATTGTCTTGCTGAGCCATGGGAATTTTTGGGCTCTGTTGTGGTCGTAAGTCGAGGACCATCTGCGTTGGCAGTGTGACTTTTCTTCGTGTTGCTGTCTTGTTGCTTCCCAGGTGGCCTACTGCAGCCCTGAGTGCCGCCAGGCCGCGTGGAATCAGTACCATCAGGTTCTGTGCCTGGGACCCTCCAAGCAAGACCCCGGTCATCCTCTCAACAAACTGCAGGAAGCTTGGAGGTAAGGTGTGTGTGTGTGTGTGTGTGTGTGTGTGTGTTCGGGTTCAAGAGGAAATGCTTTGAAGCAGCTGCACAATTCCTTCAAAATGGCTTTTGTAGGGAATAGGATGGAATGGAATGTAGATTAGAATGGAATGGAATAGAATGGTATAGAATGGAATAGAATAGAATGGAATAGAAAATAGAAAAGAAAATAGAATGGAATAGAATGTAG